AAAATCTCCTAAAACGACACTTAGCAATGGATTGGTCTTTCTTGCAACAATATAAACATGAAAAGTTAACTTTTGAATTACCTTTGCTATCGTTATCTCGTACAAAATATTTGTATTTTTGATATGGATTAACCATACTCTTTCTAAAATCAGATTTATCGATGGCAAAAGTAATTTTGGGCTCTGGAGCCTTGTTAAGTTTGGCATTTAGGTTTCTTTCATTTTGCCAAATGTAACAAGTGTCACACCCAAAGTTAACTATTCTACTTCTTAGATCCTCACAACCTGCTTTAGTAATTTCCACTATAGAAGCTTTAAGTGCCTCAAGTTTCTTTTCAGACTCTCGAATCTTTTGCTCTAAGTGAGCAAAAATTTGATTATTTGAGGCAAGCCTTTTAAAGGCTTCTTTTGCTTCACAATGCAAAGTATTAAACGCAGTTTGTAATTCAAAATGAGACATGTTAGAGGAATTTTCATATTTAGCATGTCATACCTGCTTTTTCTTGTTCTTTTAGTGATCGGAAAGACACAAATTTACGGATTCATCTTCATCACTTGAGCTTTCATCCTCGGAAGAATCGCTATCGCTTTCCCAAGCTATATATGCTCTCCTCGGCTTTGATTTCTTATTATTTGATCTATTTGATTCCTTTTCTTTACCCTTTTTGTTCAAGGGACAATCCGGTTTATAATGTCTGGTCTTTCCGCAAGTGTAACATGACCCTCTTGTTTTGTTCCCCTTGGTGTCATCATTTCTAGAGTACCTAGATTGTTTCCGGAAGTTGACAAGATTCTTCCCGGAGTGTTGGATGTCGTTCTTTCTAACATAGCGGTTGTAACGCTTTACAAACAACCCCATGTCCTCACTCTTGTCATCTTCGTCGTCGTCACTCGACGTGCAATCACTATGCTCCTTAGATTGAGACTTTGAGGAAGAAGTCTTGAGAGCAATAGACTTCTTTTCAGTATTCTTTGTTTTGTCATTCTTTTCTTTCTTTTCATGTTGCTCTAGGCTTAGGAGCACTTGTTCTTGCTCTTGCAGCTTTCCAAACAATGTTGTTAGATCCAAAATTGTGAGGTCGTTAGCTTCTTTGATGGAGGTTACCTTCGGCTACCATTCCCTGTTAAGACATCTCAAAATTTTGTTAGTAGCAACATCATTGGCCACTAGCCTACCTAGTGAATGCAATCTATTGATAAGATGAATGAATCTCTTTTGCATGTCCACAATGGTTTCCCCTTGCTCCATGTAAAAGATATCAAACTCTTGTGTTAACATGTTGATTCTCGCTAGCTTAACATCATTGGTTCCCTCATGGGCGACTTGCAATGAGTCCCACATAGATTTTGCCGTCAAACAATGAGAAACCCTATAATATTCATCAACTCCTAATGAGGAGATCAAAATATTTTTGGCTTTCCAATCGTAATTATATTTTTTCTCATCATCATCAGTCCATTGTGCTTCGGGCTTAGGCACAACCATATTATTTGCATCGGTCATAGTTATTTCCATTGGACCGTTGAGAATAACATTCCATACTTTTTTATCTATGGAATTAATGTGCACCCGCATACAATCCTTCAAATAACTGTAATTTTCTCCATTAAAAACGGGAGCTCTATTATAGGTCCCTTTAGGTTCGTTAGCCATTTTCTACAAAGTTATACTTGAAGCACGGAGTGAACCGGTGCTCCTGATACCACTTGTTAGACGATGGCACGGATCTAGAAGGGGGGTTGAATAGATCCCTTATTAAAAAATTATTCGGCGCTATCAATAAAATTGGTTTTAAAAATTGTTTAAATTGCGGAAGCGGTCGTGGAAAAATTACCATCTATAACAAACCGTTACTAGAGGACCAGATATGCGTCTAGCCTATGGATATTGATAATGAGCAAAGAGAATCACCACGCTAGTCACACTATCAATTGATTTTTTTCACTACTTGGTATGACTAGTTCCAATGCCTTAATATGCCAACAAAATAATTGGACAGCACAAGAGAATTTTGGTTCAGACAATTTATCAAACACTTGGCGTGCAGAGCACTCCAAGTGATTTCGGCTTTGAGTAAGTAGCACGAGTTTCCTTGTACAATAAACTATTGTGCTATAGTCAAAATTACTTCAGCACTTACTCAAAACAGTCCTTAATTCGATATTATTGTTTGAACGAAATTCACGCAAATATTAAGCAAAATGAAAATGCGAAAAGTAAAAGGCACAAAGATTTGTTGAGTCAGTTTCCCCGCCGTCCTCGCTTCGGGGTACGTCTGCCCTCAATTCTAACAATAGAATTGAGCTCGTATAATATAAATGTAACCTGTTGTTGAATCGTTTATATAAGAATGGAATAGAAAATGAACAAACAAACTCCCTTGTTGTTGAATATGCTTTCTTTTCTCGTCCCTTGATTCGAGTCGAATCAAGTCCTTCGATTACTTATGGATGAACCTCCGATTATAGCTCCTTGGTTGAACAACCTTGCATTTTCAAACCCCAGCCCGGCTGATATCAAACACTTGCCAATTGAACCCGAACCTATCCTTCACAATTCACCGATTACAACTACTAGATCGAAGGAACCAACCGCTTCTCGATCACCTTCGCTCAGCTGAATATATGTTGAGAAGATTCGAACCAAAAACCCCCAAATTCGATGAATCTTGAAGGACAAAACCCTCAAGGTTTTATTCAAGAAAGACCTGCCAAAATCTCAACTCGAACCGGATTCCCAATCAACGGTTTTGAAGGTTATCACTTCAAACAAACCATAATGCACAACAAAGATTATTGTGTGTGATTGTTGTGGTATGAAATGTAGAAGATGAAGATGATGAGAACTAAAATTTTCATTACTTTTATCATTATCTTTTGAAATTTAAAAAGTTCATATTTAATTCTTCTTATTTTAAAAAATTATATAATATAATAAAGAAACATTTTATAGTAATCTGAATAAATATGAAAAAAATTATTCAAAAATTTGAAAATTTAAAGTAATTAAATAGTTTTCAAAATTTTAGAAAATAGCGAGGACTAAACCATATGCGTAAAATTTTTGTAGGGACCAAAATATATCTTTTTTTAGGCAAAATATATTTTTTTGTCCGTTAACTATACCCTTAAGTTCAGATTGCTTCCTTAATTATTTTTTGTGCCAGATTGGTCTCTTAACTCTTTAAAAAGTATCATGTTAGTCTTTTTCGTCTAATTAGCGACAGAAAAATTCAAAAATCGATCGCTAATTAAAAAAAAAGGACTAACATAACATGTTTTAAAGAGTTAAGGGACCAATCTGATACAAAATAATTAAGGGATCAATCTGAACCCAAAAATATAATTAAGAAACCAAAAATGATATTTTTTTTTTATAAGAACTAAAAATAAAATGTGAACTATTTATACAGACCAAATACATATTTAACTCTAAAATATATATTCAGACATATCACATCTCTTTAGCACATTTTTAATTAAAGTCAATTTATTACTATGACACAACACTAACATTGCATACATGCACTAGACAAAGTCATCCCGGAATACCATATCTATAATATAAAGTTAGTTTTGGTGTGTCCTATTTTTTATCGATTTTATTCTTACATTATATATATATATATATATATATATATATATATATATATATATATATATATATATATATATATATATATATATATATATATATATATATATATATGTATATATATATATATAATTTAGTTTTAATATAATTTATTTTTCTATCAATTTTATTTTTACAACATATATAAAAGCAAAATTTAATTTGGTGTAACCTATTTTTCTATCAATTACCCTTACGTAACATATATAAAAGTAAAACTTTATTTTGATGTAATTTATTTTTCTACCAATTTTATCCTTACATTAATATATAATTTAAACAATAACTTCCATTAAAATTATTATAATTATATTTCACATAATTTTCTACCTAACTATCTACTATATACTTCCTACGTAAATTTTATATAAAATTAATATTAAATAAGAAGTATAGTTTAAATTAAAGGAAAAAAAAAAACTCTTATTTAAATCACTTTTTATACACAAATGTTAATCTACCTTTCATATTAGAATAATTGTCCTATTTTAGTTTTACCTTAAAAAGAATCTCTACTTACTTTGTTTGGTCATAGATTTCATATTTCCATTCTATGTATTGTAATTTTTACAACTTGTTTTACAATTAATATATATCACCAACTATTTACACATAAGTTCAACCAAATTATAACATAATATGTATAAATTATAACAATTTTAATTATAAAAATTTACATTATTTAAACATACTCCTTTCAGCTACTTTTATAAACAAACATTTATAAATAATAGAACAAATTATCTGTTGTTTATTTATATCTTAAAAATATTATTGTTATATTATTTTTTTTATAAAAAAAATAAGATATTCACCACTGTAAAATAATTTTACACTAACGACAAATACTATGTTAAATCACACATATATTCTAAAATAATTTAAATGATATAATATTAAATGTTTTTACCATGTCCTTTATCTTGTCCTTCTCTCACTCACTATTATTTCTCACTATTTATTCACAGCATTGCAAAATTCATGGATACCCACCTTCTCTTCTCTTCCTCATAGAGTCAAACCCTTATTCATCTTCTTCCGCCTCCTATTTTCTCACTTCAACCATTTCATTTTCCCACCAATCAAATCACTTTCAAACCCTCCTTCTTAATCATCTTCTTCAGGTACTATATTATACTCTTTTTTATTTTTCTTGTTTTTGTTTCAACATTGTTTGAAATTGAAATACTTTCTGTATTTTTGTTATATAATTGATTCAGATTCCTATCTTTATTCTTAGGAAAACGAAAAGATGTTCCTGAATCACATCACATGCAATGAAATTATGAAATGAAACCTTAGTTTATACTCTACAAGGTTATTTACAACAAAACTTCATCTTTTGTGATTGTGAATTTCACCAACTATGGCAACCACGTTTAAAGGAATTCGCAAGAGTTTTAAGTACATTACTCAGATATTTGGTAATGATAATGTTTTCTACTGCATACACTTTCCAATTGATTCATTGTTTTGTTGCTAATGTTTGGGCTGAAATATGAAATGGGTATTTTTCCAGTTGTTAAGGAGAGGGAGATGGAAATTGGGTACCCGACAGATGTTAAACATGTGGCTCATGTTGGATGGGATGGTCCCTCAGGGAATGGACCTAGTTGGGTATGGAGTTTATGACACCTCAATTTGTTATTGTTCTCTTGTTTTCTGTAAATGTAGAATTGATTTTGACATGTTTGGATCTCCTCGGTTCGAACCCGATGCTAGATTTTGGACTTTTTGCGTCCACCTTTGAAATCAAGTTCTAGCCCCCCGTTGATCAAAGTTGCGGGGGATTGAACAGTGGTCCTTCCTACTAAGTCCAGCGTCAATCACCACTGGACCAACTATGTTTCAACATTTTTGTCCTTTTGTTTGTTAACGTTTTTTGCCCTTTTGTCTAATTCAGATGGATGATTTTAAGAAAGTTCCTGATTTTTCAACATCGATTGGTAACTTGGGTGAAATTAGCGACTCTGATCCTACGGCTGTTACTTCGTTATGGTCCTCCCTAGGTATGATTTGCTTCTCGTACAAATGTATTGCTTTTAACGGGTTGATTTGTTTTGGATAATGATTGATGAAAATGCGAGGCTTTCTAAAAGCTATATAGGTTCTTTACCCCCTTAGAAAGTGTTTGGTTGTTGTGTCACAAGCAAACTTATCCCCAACAAAGAGAATCTTACGACTGTGTGATTGTTAAGTACATGTTTTGTTGGTACTTTGGTTTTCCATGTGATAAACTTCCTTAATGCCATCGAGTTAAACCTTAAAAAAATCAAATAATTGAATTTGCAAATAAATATCTAATAAGGATCGGGAAATAATGCAAATTTCACTTGCCAACAAGCCTTGTATTTTTGTAGTCATGATTAGATAGGTGTTTAAATGCGATTGATAGTGTAGCTGAGAAGAATTCCGCTGCGCACCTTAAGAATTCTTCTCGGCTAAAATAGGTGGTTTAACTACACAATTTAGTTTACAAAATATGCTGTTTATCTTCATGATGATTTTCCTTTTTTGATGGTTTTATGTTTTTTTTCCGCATGTTACTTTCGACGCTGTCATTTACAATTACAGTACTGGTTAGATTTTCATGATTATGTCATAAATGCATTGTGCTGAAATACACAAGAATCTAATTTATTTCCAAACAGTTACATTGTGATTATATTTCCTTCCGGTTCAGGACGAGATTCTGAGCAATACACAAATCTTATTTGTTGTTTGGATCCGTGCTGTCAGTATTCTTGATGATAATTCTCGTTCTCGTGTGCAGAAAGTCAACAATCATCGAGCATATACAATGGTCTCTCATCTGTTGCAGGGAATCCTAGTATTCGAGAGAAGCCCAAGCAGAAAAAGCTTAAGTCGCCTTCCTCTTCCCGGTCGCCATCTTCTTCATCAAGACGATCAAGAGCGTCAAAGTCAAAGGCTTCGTTCAACAACGAGAGAGAAGCAACACCAATTGCTCTGGTGTAGCAGATTCAAGAATAGGAAATTAGCAAGAGAAGAAAAAGATTTGGCATCACCATATCAAACGGAATACTCGTTTCTCGAAACACAGGGAAGACATAAAATAAATATGGCAATGAAAGTTTTCTTGGCTTCTAGTTAGTAAATTATAATTTAGTCAAACAGAAGAAGATGAACCCGATTATTTGTTTCCAGGAAGAGAAAAAACCAAATTATTTGTAACGAGTGTTTGGTTTTCTCCAAATCATATAGACCTTGAATTCATAAGCTGTTTTTGTCGATTTTGAAGATTAAAGGAATGGCACGGTGGTGTTTAGCAGTTGTTTGTGCACTCTTCTCTGGCATGTTTTTTTGTTGTTTAGAAATCTTTGAACATGCGCAAAAGTACAATTATTTAAAGTCGGTAAAACTTTGCATGAACTAGTTCAACTAATGAATTGTTAGCACCTAGTGCGATTCAAATTTGAAATTTTGAGAGAAGTACATTATCAGAGTGTAAGCTTGTACCAATAGACCAATCTTTCATTTGTGACAGGATTAACTCTTATGTATTTTTTTGGATGTTGTGACAAATAAATTTTCCAGATGATTTTCTCATTTGTTCATATATTCTTGAATTTTTCCAAGTATGGTAAGATCATATCCTCACGTAATCAATTCTTATTGCGGCAGGTTTATGAGCAATTATAATTTGCATGTCATTATCATGTTCAAAATATATATTATTTTATTGTGCCATCATTAAGAGTCGGGTTGGTTGAGGTAGATGAAGAGGAGAAGAAGAGAGGAGATATTTTTAAATATATTTGTTGGGTTCATTTTTTATAAAGAAAAGGGAGGGGAGGAGAACAAAATTTCTGTAAACTCGTTTTTTGTTCCCTTTCAAATTGAGGAGATTTGGAGATAAAGGTAGATTAATTATTTAGAATTTTATTATATTCTCTAATTTATTCTTAATTATTTATTTTATTTTTAAGATTGTCCTTATTTTTTGCTCCCTTTAATTTGTTTATGCTAAGTAGACCAAACTGAATGTCATGTACTAGTTGCAAATAATTTTTTCTAAGATTAGAAATTATATGTTAAACTTTAGTATTAATTTTATTTACGAAAAACTTTAGTAGGATTAACAATTATATGGTTTCGTAGGATTATGAATTATATGGTTTCATAGGATTAGGAATTATATGTTAAACTTTAGTACTAATTTTATTTACGAAAAACTTTAGTAGGATTAAGAATTATATGATTTCGTAGAATTATGAATTATATGATTTCATAGGATTAGAAATTATATGTTTAAACTTTAGTTTTAATCATACGTGTTAACAAATAGTTTTTCGTAAGATAGGAATTTTAGTAAAGTTCAATTATTTTCTCATATAACATGATTCATATCTATTTGGCTAGATAGTAGATAGTATGGATAAGATGTATATTAGATGACTAATCAATTGAATAACATGTAATATTTGTGTTCCAAACTGGTCCAATGGTTAGGCATGACCCAATCCACTTACGCACTCCAAAACGGCCCAATAGCCTAAGCTCTGCTGGTTAAAAGTAAAGGAAAACATTTTCTATTCTGCCCCTCAGCCGGGGAGGTCTAGCCAGCTGATCCTCAGGATCAGCTGCCCTACGTCACATCTCTTCCCGTCATGCACAGTTCAACCATCCAGGAACGGCCATAACGCCTTTGCCCGCAACCACGTCCTGCTCAGAGCAACGGCTAGTTCCGAGCACGTCTGCTTGTCTCAACAGCTAGTTTCTGGCAGTTACCTATTTTTGGGGAGCGAATATCTCGGCCCGAAAATTGGGACCAACGACCAAGCGTTGGAGGCATTATAAAAAGCCTCTCCCTTAAGAGGGTCAGGTATTCAATAGTCATCCTAAGAAATACTTTGTATTCACCTTCTCATCTCCCGATTCTTACTTTAGCATCGAAGTGTCTTGCAGGCACACCCACCTCCTCCTTAGATTCCAGCATCGTAGACGAAGTCTTGGCCCACTTCGGGTTCTGATCAACCGAAAAGATCAGTGGTGCCGTCTGTGGAAAACTGTTCTCCCCGGAAACCAACGATCAAAGCAATTTCTCAAGATTTCGATCATGGCCAGCCATGATAACGTCAACGATGTGCCCAGCGCCTTCATTCCCCCCGTCTGCAAGATAGACAAAGATGGGGCAAACCCCTTTCTTAGAGACAATGTTCCTCAGCAGAGGGACGGAGTCACCGTATCTCCCTCCCTGTATCGCGCCAACAACATATAGATCCAATACTCAGAGGTCTATTAGCCTGTCCTAGTTCCTCCCAACGCCGAACCGGCCATGGCAGCTCTGGTTGAAGCCCTCAACAAGACGAACCTTCTGATCCTCCAACAGAATGCAAGAATTAGAGCATTGGAAGAGATTCGCCGTCCAAGATCTCCTCCACCGAGGCGTGAACACCGGAGATCTCGAAGTCATTCTCCTCGACACGAAAGAAATTACTGAATGTTAGAGGATCCTGAATCCTTGTCGGTGAGGAAACGCGACCATACTTCTCCCCGAAGCCAGCACTCCCCAAGGGCCAAGAGAACAAGAAGAGATCTGCGGGCAGAAAACCATCGTTCACCTCCGCCCAGACCTAAGGGTCGGTCCGAACCCTTTCTCCCCGTCGAGATCGCAGTCCTCACCCAGGCAAAAACACCCGCTCTTGTTCGCGGTCAGGTAGCTACAGCAAAGACGAAGAGCCTCAAGGCCCATTATCCCAAGAGATCATGGCCACTCGATTACCCAAGGGGATGGAGAAACCCCACACTTGGGCACATATGATGGCACAACCTATCCCGACAAGCACATCAAAAACATCGATGCCTTGCTCGACTACCGTGGAGTCAGAGGCACCATCAAATACAAGTTGTTCCCGACGACACTAAGGAAGGGAGAAATGTCCTGGTAAATGATCCTCCCCTACGAATCCATCGCCTCATGGAGACAATTGGGGAGGATGTTCTCGAGACATTTTACAGCCTATTGCCGTCACCCGAAGACAGAAGCCTCCCTCGAGGATATCATTCAAGGAAAATACGAGTCTCTTTGAGCTTACATCGAAAGATTCAATAAAGAAGTCGTTCAGGTCTCCACGATTGACGGTATGAAAAAATATTTTCTAGAACAAGGGCTCCATCCCTGCAGCGACTTTGCCAAGGCAGTTGGCATTGAAACCCCAACAACACAGTACGCCCTCCTCCTCAAGGCTCAGGCATATATCCAGTATGAAGAAAGGGAAGCAGCAAACGCTGCCCGGGACTCAAGGCACCAAGAGAACACCAAGTCTTCAAAACACGGCGACTCCTCGTCAACTCGTCGGGGAGCAGAAAAAATAAGGGATGGCCTCCCCCAGGAATCCCGAGATCACAAAGGGCCATTTGGCTGTTTTCACGAGTACACACCACTGACCACCTTGCACGAGAAGATTCACTCTGAATGCGCAAACTCAGAGTTTTGTAAGGCAGGAGTCTGTTTCCCAAAGTAGATACCTGCCAAGCCGAACACGGATAAAACAAAGTACCGTTGGTTCCACAAGAGCCATAGGCACATGATTGATGACTGCATCCACCTCAAGGATGCAATTGAAATCTTGATCAGAGACGGGCACCTGAAGCAATTTGCTAAGAGGAAAGATGTTCCTCGACCAGACGCCCAAGAGTCGAAGAAGGTTGAAGAAGAAGTGCCATCCACGGACGACGTCATCCTTCAGGTCGCCATGAGCATCTCACGACCAGAAGAGTTATATGTCCCTAATGGGCTCAATGTTACTCTTCACTTCACCATACATAGCCCCTAGGAAGCCTTCCTATCCGCCATGGTCATATCGAGAGGAGGATTCAACAAGGTGACCGTAGGGTCAGTAAAGAGGAAGTTCGAGCACCTCATCAACACGATCTCGAGCCGAAGTTCTACCCTTGACAAGGTCTGGGGAGATTTAGTTCCCATCACCTTATATCATAAGGAACTCTTCGGTGGAGCCCCTAACTCCAGTATTCCTCTGCTCATAAGGGCGGATATGGCCAACTTTGATGTTCAGCGAATTCTGGTCGACCAGGGAAGTTCAGTCGACATTATGTACTCCCAACTATTCTCCATACTTCAGCTGGACGAAACGCATCTGACACCCTATGTAGGCTCAGATCTACAAGGATTTAACAGTTCAGTCGTGAATCCATGGGGATACGTGGAACTGATTGTCACCTTCAGGGCAGCGGAGACGACCAGATCTATCAAGGTCTAGTTTCTAGTAATCGACTTCCCATCCCTTTACCAGTGCATCTTCGGACGACCAACGTTGGATGAGTTGATAGTTGTACCCTCCATGATGCACTTGAAGATGAAGTATTACACTTCCAAAGGGCTCGTCACCACCCTACATGGAGACATAGAGGCCGCAAGAAGGTGCTTCGAGGCAGCCTCAAAAGGGATGAGCACCATCGTCACTCGACCAAAGACATCCTACAAGCCTGCCCTACCCCACAACTTCAAAGAGACGAAACCGCTGCCCTGCGTCGACTCCATCGACCTCAACAAATGTTTCTCCAAAGACGACTTAAAGGACCATACAAAGAAGGGGAGCGAGATACAGTCAAATTCGAGCAGCCCCTCAACATCAACAAGCAGCGATGAGCCTGCCCATTCTTTGTAGCCAATCCCAGATGGAGAATTCGAGTTAATCCTCCTCGGAGACGACCCCCTCAAGAGAGTGAAGATTAGGACCGGCCTCCCCGACCTGGCGAGGAAGCAGTTGAAAGCTTGTCTCAAAGCGAACGCGAACTTGTTCGCATGGAGCGCTTCAGAGATGCCCGGGCTGGATCCAGAGGTGGCCTGCCACTAGCTTACCATCGACCCTGCTGTAAGGGTAGTAGCCCAACGTATGCACAAGCAGTCCCCAGAAAAAACAGAGGCTTCTGAGCAAGCTGTAAAAGACCTCATAGAGGCAAATTTCATTTCGGAAGCCAAATACGCTACTTGG